TTTGTGAGTCGTAATTTAGAATCTAATTACATTTGTAAAATTATAGGCTTATAAATTTAAAAATAAAAATATTTACCGCTATGCAATTTTATATCAGCATGACACGTAAGCAAAAGTATAACTTACGAGATCGCGACATGTATCTAATATTGATCAGGTGAAGAATGTGTTAAAATTTAAACTTAATTAAGAAAAATAAAATTTAAAGTGATAGTAATTGTCAAGTTACTAATCAAATAATAAAAAAATAAAATTTGTAATATTATCAATAATAATTAAGAAACAAATTTTAAGATAAAATATAGACATGACATAAACCATAAAATAAACAAATAATACATATGGAATAAAAATCTCAATTAAAATAAATAAAAAGACGAACGATAAAAAAGAAGGTATATAAATTGGAAAAATAAAAGTTAGAAAGGTAATAGAAACCTCAATTTAAAATTTTGAAAATATACACAACCATGCAAAAATAAAATAAAAATAAAATCTATAAGAATACTTATTTTATCAACATAGAGTTACATAATATCACAAAGAAAATGGAAATTTTTTACCAATAACGCCATTGGTGCTCTTTAAGTGTATATATTGAAAATGAATCTAGGTTTAAAAAATAATAATATTATATATATTATTAAGTTAATAATGTATAAAGTTTGGCGAGTATAAATCTGTATGAAAAATAAAATACTTATGTGATGGTTCACAAGTCACAACATTATTTATAATTTTTATGAGATTACTAACATAAAATTTACTCTTTTCTGATTTAACTATATAGTATTTAATTATTTTTATTTTCTATCACATAATCATACATATTTATAATGGGCTAAAATATATATTTTCTCTGTTATTAAGAATATAATTTAAATTTATGATAATACCTATTTTTGGATTTGTATGATATATATTAGAACATGAGAATTATGATATAAATTGATTTTTACTACTTTTAGGAACCACGTTAATTAGTATTTTAAATCTAAGGGAACTAATTAAAATTTAAATATTTATTTCATTAATTTTTATAGTATTTACCCGCGTATTAACGCGGCTCCTATTCTAGTATTCAATAAAGATAAAAAAACACATAGGATTGTCAAAACAATTTATATTTGAGACAATTGCAAAAATACCACTTTTCAAAAATGCCAGTTTTTCAAAATCTTTGCAAAAATATCACTACCTAAGGATTTTTAAGCCTCTAAATCTTAAAATTCTAAACCCTAAATATGCTTTGACTGACCCCTAACAAACCCTAAACCATCAATTTTAAACCCTAATACAACATAGTTAACCCAAACATAAATGATATATTGAATAAATGATTTTGAAAAAATGGCATTTTTGCAAAGATTTTGAAAAAGTGGCATTTTCTAAAAATGGCATCCAAAAATGGTAATTCTCAAAATTTCTCTTTATATTTTGAAACAAAAAAAAACCTTCAAAACATCTAATATTTTGAATTGGATGGAGTATTAATTATTACCGGCCATATGTGTGATGCAGTATTGGATAATGGCGTCATCTTCAA